CCCGCCACTGCGTGCATGAAGCCCTCGGATTCGTCGCGGGCGTCAACTTCAAGCAGTGGCGGAACTTCGACTTTCGTCTCTTGTACCGTAATATACTATTTATAATAGTAGGTGCTTTATATTTCATGTTTTCTCCTACTGATTGGAATTATTGGCCATTCGATCTTGCCAAGGTTCGCTAAAAGTTAATTGTATTTATTATAAATTGAAATAAAAACTCAATTTTCTACAAAGAATCGAATATTGAGATGAAGTCCTTATTACATTAGAACCCTATTTGTTTATTACTAGTAGTATAGTACCAGCTCAACATAAATATTTGTTGATTTTTTTGCAATTTATAATGATTCCAGCCCAGATTTACATTTTTGTTTAGTTTTAGCATTTAATACATTTTATCTACGAACGTCTTTGAATTATATTGAAAATTATTAAAATTTAGTAGGTGGATTCATAAGTGGGTTAGAATTGTGAAAAATAATCAAAGAGTAAAGTGCAAACACTTGTAAAACAGGTTTGTTCAGATAATGAAAATTACTCCTACTTATAGAGGGAGCATTTGCACCTCACAGTCCTATAAGCAGAAGTGGGTTTCAGAAGCACACGATATGGAAACATTTTCTTAAGATATCCAGCATTTGTCGTTATCTACTTATTAAATATATTTTTTAAGCAAATGCTAAAAGAAGCTGTTGAATTTTTTTTTTAAATGAAATGAAATTACTGAAATTACTTACGAATGAAACTTTTTTTTAATTTTCAACTTAATTCGTAAGTGAATTTGCCGAGATTTATTAAATCGCCTATGTCCTAACCTGGATAATCAACTAATCGCCAATTGCTGTAAACTGTTGAAGATTGCAATACATATAGCAATGTGCTTCCTTGCATGTTTATTGTGGCAGCATGTTCGTTCATAATTTGTGTAGCGGTTTGCTTAAAAGTAGTGAGTAGTGCCAATTTTCATGATAGGATTAATGGAAATCGCTTTGTCTGCATTTTTCTTGATAATTTTCATTCCAAATTATCTCACCAGGAAATATTAAGTTTACTTTGCATTCTTTTAGTGTCAAAAGCGGGGACTGGATGATTATGTGCAAATAGGTGGATCTCTTGGACTAGACAATGGCAATATGAAACTTGCAGATTCCGTATGTGGTTTAAATTCCCAACCAGGTACCAAACTAACTTTGCCTTAAACCTGCTTTTAAATTGGCGCGCAATGTAATTAAATTTGCTTACAATCGACTGCAATATAAGTGTCTTGAAATTATACTGGATCAACTAGATCTGAGAATTAGGGACATTTATAAAAATTGCACATATATCATTAAGAAAACGGGTTTTAAGTAGTAAAGTTGATAGTGCAAAGTTGGATTTCAACAATCGGTTTTTCTACTGAGCCATGAAGAAGCCAATTGCTTGGCATTTGCCATTATCCTAATTAAATATGCTCATTGGTCAAGTTCTTGATACTGTCATAACTATTACTTCAAAATTCATAATGTCTGATAAAAGCATATTTTTATATTTTCGTGGGATAAGGCGCACATTATAAGACAATTAAAACAGTGTAGTTAACTTCTATTTTTTAATTTATTTTCCTGCCTGCTTGTAATTGTTATTATATTATTTTTCTTTCCTGGGCTCCAGTCACAGTGTGAAACAAAAATTGTTTTGTACATCGTTTATTTCGTTACGTTTCACGTAACACGCGAATCACAGCGCCGTCAGATTTTAAAATTAATTTAAGCTACAAACATAAATTTGCAATTAAAATATGTTGTACAAAAACTATAATTTGTATAGTGTTAAAATATTCATTAGTTCTTGAGGAAAAGGAAACTTTTCTTTCGGGAGAGCTAAACATTTAGAAAAACTTTCCTCAAAAAATCGAAACGTAACGAAATAAACGATATACAAAAAAAAATGTTTCACACTGTGACTGGAAGGAAATTAAGATAATAACAATTGTAGTTAACCAGCTAACAGTCAGTTAGAACTTTGATACATTCTTCTTGGAATAATATTTAGTATCCGTTTTTTTATGTTTCTGAAAGCCATTGAGAACAATAACAATATAAGAGTTTTGCGCTCCGGACTGTCAAAGGGGAAAATAACTATATGTGAAATAAAAAACGGCCAAAAATATTTTATCACGGATAGGGACAAAATTACCGAAATCATTGAACAGTTTTACCGTAACCCTTATGCTCAAGTAACTCAACCCCAAGGCGACAGGGAGGGCCGAGGAAACTCAACCTAAATGTAGGATCCGAGGAACTCTAGAGAATCGACAAAGTGGAACTGGGAGCTGTACTAGGCCAACTAAAGAATGGCAAAGCAACGGGCAGGATATGATAACGAGCGAAATGCTGAAACCCGGTGGTGAGACGCTGAAACAAGAACATTGAACAAATGTCTCGAGGAGGGCAGAGTTCCCGACTCATAGCAAAGTGTAGGGATTATCTTGCTCCTGAAGAAGTGCGACTGTGTGAATATAGAAAACTAAAAAAATCAGTTTGCTTTCCATCCTTTATAAGCTGTGATCCAAAATTATCACCAGTCGTCTTACCCAGAAGTTCGACTTTCACTAGCTGGCTTCAGGAAGGGATTCAGCAGGACTGAGCATATCCGCGCAGTGTACACATTAATCGAGAAATGCACGGAGTACCGTATTCCCCTCCATATGACTTTTGTGGACTACCAGACGGTCTGCGATTCGATTGAAACTTGGGCTGTGCTTCGGACAATGGACCGTTCCCGTATTGACTCCACATACTCAAACTTGATTCGGCACATCTACGAACACGCTACCTTGCATGCCTAAGTTGAAGACGGCTGGCTTACAGGAAAAATACCACTTAATAGAGGCGTCCAGCAAGGCGATATAATCTTGCCCAAATTTTTTACCCTAGCTTTAGAAGACATATTCAAGAATATCTCTTGGAAACAATAGATAATTAACATCGATGAAAACAATTTCAATCATCTTCGCCGACGATATTGTTCTTATCAACAGCGAGGCAGATGAACCAGAAATAATGGTGCGTGAGCTCAAAGAAGCCTCCCAGACTGTGGGACCGAAATTTAATTTACCAAAACTAAAATTATAGGTCCGAGGAGTGTAATAGTCACCATCGGGTACCAAACTCTAGAGAATGTCACAAACTCAAGAAAGTCACACCATCAATCTGAGAAAGGCCAACCAGGCAGTAGAAATCACCAGACGTATCGGCTTAATCGGGGTGGCATGCGGCAGGCTCAGCTGATTTCTCTGAGAGCCAGGGGTCCTGTTAACCTGAAGGTGCATGATTCTCTCATCTCGAAACTGTGACTCTAACGATGCACAGCTCAAACCGACTCCGGGTTTTCCAGCGAGCGATGGAGCGGGCAATGCTGAGGGTCAGTCTAAGGGATAAAATTAGAAACGAGATTAAGAAGAGAACAGGGGTCGCAAGTGTGGTGGAACGAATGGTGCTTCTTATGTAGTAATGGGCGGGTCACGTAACTAGAGACAACAGCAAATGGACTAGAATCTAATTGAAATGGAGACCTTGAGGATCAAAGGAAAGTGTGGGGAGACCCCAAGCATGGCCAGGAGCTGGGTGGTGCAGGCGGACAAATTACTGAAAGAGGCCTACGTTCAAGAGTGCACGTCAACAGGCTAAGAAGAAGAAGAAGAAGAAGAAGAAGAAATCTGCTGTTTGATAGAGAGGGCATAAAGTATGGCTATGTAGGTTAAACCACGGATTTAGATATTCAAGGTTTTGCGAAGAACTAAAGAGGCTACACCAACATTATTTATCACTAGTCAAATTGGCCACATATTCTCTGCTATCTAGTATAATAAAATACCAAGAACCAAAATAAACATGTCTACTTTTCTGTTTCATACTTAAATACCACTTACGTTACTTTCAAATAGTTGATAATTTATTGAAACAATTTTATCTGATTCAGAAATGTGAGATGCTAATGGAACATAAATTATTAATAGTTTTGATGTCATAAAGGTTTCTAATTTGAAATTTCGATAAAGTTTAAATGAAAATAAGTAATTGTACAAATTATTGACGTTCTCTGTAATGGCTATTAATGAGTAACATAATTAACATAATAATAATAATTAAATGTTAATTTAACTTTGTTATTGCAGCCAGAAGCGCGGAGTATATCGGATGTGAGACGACAACTGTACGCTTAGTATCAAGTGGGGCTTTTGACAACTCAGTAACAGTTTCTTTTACAAGGTTGACTGAAAACGATATTGACATGTATATGAGCGTCATTTGTATTCCCGAAGATCTGCCAACTGAAAGGTATGTGATACAATGTTAATGCTGCAGTGAAAATAATTATGTATTTGTTTGTTATGGTAAATAATTTTTGATTAAATTATCGCTGTAAGCTTTTTTGAAAATTCTCGAATTACCGTTTATGAATACCTTTTTGCCTAGATTAGCATAGACAAATGTTAATAAATAATTAATAAATAAAAGACACAGGGGCTACTGGCATCTGGTGTTATGGAATATGCAAACATCAGCGCCATTTTTCTGAAAACATCACTAGAACTGGTCTTTACAGGATGACTGTTTTAAAATATTCGACGCTTTGATGGTTACCAAATAAAAGTAAAAGAACAAAATCAAATTGTGTATTGATCAAAGTAAATGGCTAAATTGATACAAAAGATCAGTACCTGCCAGTTTGGCAAGACGTAACATTAAAACAGATTATCACAATCACATTAAGGCCGGGACACATTTATCCGATCCGCCTCCGATCATACGATCGGACGAAGATCTGAGACAGAAATGTTACTAAACTTTGAACGCCGTAATTTAAATCTTTACGCTACCTGTCCGATCCGTTTCCGTTTTTGAATTCAATCATGTTCCGATTTTGGTGGCTATTCGATGGGTATTTGCTATCCGATTGCCGGAAGGAAAAACGGTCCTCGTTTTAGGTTACGTCAGTGATACATTTTGTCCTGGTTTTAATAATGAGCTTAATTAAACGTTAGGAGCTAATTGAAGAAATGAGGAAATATTCGGTACTGTATTTTCTCCAGCAGTTTTTGTTGCAATAAGCTAAACGCCGACACGGACATTCTAAGCTATTGACAAAATTTCGTCTCATCGTCCAACGCGAGAGAAAAGTGAAAAAAATTCTCCTTCATGAGGTCTTGTTTCCCCAGCAGCATGGACCTAAAATCTGCGTTTTCCTTTGTCCTCCCTCAAATATCTCCTTTTTTCTTTTGCTTTGTTTTCTAGACAAAGTGCCACCATGGCCAAGTCACACCCGCAAAAAATGGTAAATATTTTACCAAAGCTCCGCTGCAATATTGCATTTAGATTTGCGAATGGCAACTGTATATGACTATCGAAGCAAAAAAATCGGTACGAAAGCTGAAACGTGTATGACATGTGTGCCTTCCCCTTTCCGATCCGGCACCGATCCGATTGTTTGGGCATCGACGGAAGGTAGTCTGATCGGATAAATTTCTCCCCGCCTTTAGTCGTGAAAGATCAAAACATTTTCGCACTATCAAATTTTGAACTGATAACTAATCAGGTATCTACTAACGATTGTCGTCGATTCTGACAAAACATTCTGATTCAACCCAAACTAACGATGGTCCTCCATTCTTGGAGAATGTTCAAAGCATAACTTGGGGGGTTGAATTCACGTTTAATTGTTATTTTCGCATTAAACCAGAGCGCATTTCATCTGCAGAAAGAAACAAACATGATAATTTCCAAAATTACAAAGAAAATTGTAACGTATTTATACTTTATACTGCTCTTTCTGTGTATGATATGATTCCCAGTTTTATTCAAATAAAACGAGCATTCACATGCAATTGGCCCCTAGATATTTTGTTCACACATGCATCTTTACAAGAAATGGGATCAGCTTTGTTTTATGAAGTGGGTGGTAAACATTACAATACGCAAATTCATCATATTTATGTAATATTTAATTGATGTTTATTATTTTCAGGAAATAAGCAACATTCTCAAAGACGAAACCATGAAGACTAAAAAAAAATAATTTCAAAGAATACAGTATGTAGATGATAATTTATTTATTTTGAACAGAAGAACGGTACGAATTTTTGTTTTAAATCTTTGATTGCTTCACATAATGCATATAAACAGTATAGAGTCAAATGCCAGGTTAACTTCTGTAATATTTTAAAATTGTTTGCTGTGGAAATGGTTTGTTTAGCCGTGTATAATAAAACATTTTCCTTATTGCCACCTACACATGATTTTCAAGATTGCTTAAATTTGGTATAATAATAGTTTATCATTTTTATTATCTTGTTTTGCGTTGATTACTTACTTTTTTATAATTATTAAATCCATAAATGTAACTTGTACCAATAGATAGTGCATGTACAAATTAATGCAATTATCAGTGAAAATAAATATCAACCAGAAAAGAGTATTTTCCTCGCTGTCCTTCAATGATAATGGCTTAATAGTGAGCTGAACTACTTACTATTGCATTGTGAAACAAGATTTTAAGATTTTTGAATAAACGACTGTTTTACGAAAGCGTCAATTACTGTAGTAATTGATTTGGTACAAACAGAACTATTCTACAGCAATTCTGCAGGTATACAAATTACCCTGAATTTTGTAAACACCAACTGATGCGTTGGAAAACATGGGTGATTCTTCATATAGAAACCGTCCAAAAGGTTCGGAAGCGGGCGCAAAGACCTGAAAAATAATTAGTGTAATTGGGTTACAATTACCAAACTTTAACTTCGTGACAACCATAACTTTGTTGAAGTTTAAGTTTAATTTAAAAATGCATGTCAGTAAATGTAAATGATTAAAGCAGTTGCATAAGTATTTATATTTCAAAAAACATCTGCAGAACATTACAAACTTAAGGAAAGGAAAAAAACCATATTTTTACACGTACATTTTTAGTTCAAAAATGAAAATCAGGAGAGAAAGTGGTGACTGAGTTATTTTCTATGGAATCTATCCAACTTTTAGAATTTTAGTTTTTTGTGCTATTGATGCCGAAAAAAAGATAAATTTAAAAAGTTGAGCAGATACTATAGAATGGAATTCAGTCACCACGTTCTCTCTGGTTTTTAATTTTTGAACTAAAAATGTACCTACATGTAAAAAGGTATATATTTTTTTGTTTAAGTTTGTGCTGTCCTGCCGATCAATTGTTAAAATTAAATACTTATGAAACTGCTTTGTACATAGTAAATTCGCAGAATTCAAAGAGATTTCGGTTATCAGCAAAATTTCATGAACTTTTAGGTATATAAGGGCACGCACATAATATTACATTATAATGTTTATTTAAACATTTTTTGATACTTATTTACTTTCGGCCACGATGAAAATAGAACGGCCACGATTTTGCCAGCGTTCGGGCTATTTTGGGTTTGCAAAGCTTAGCAGGACTTCAAATGATGGATGTTCAACTGAAGAATAAAGATGAAAACGCAGGAAGAGTGCTATGTTAATTTGTACGATATTTTTAAGTTATTTAAAATGTGCAGTAGCCTACATTCAATCTGAGTTAAAAGCAACGATACATATCGTCAGTTTGAAAAAAGTGACCAAATTTAAAGTTGCCGTATTTGTGAGTAAAACAAGTAATTAAAAAAATATATATTTGTCAGAAAAAAGTCAAGCAAGGCTACACAAACACGGGCACTAAAATATGTTTCCAATGACCCAGTTTCTAAAAAAACAGTACGTTGTATACGTACAGTAACTATAAACGCAAAAAAGTGCGTTTACCAAAAATTGATATTCTAGACTTGCTCAGTTTTATCTTTCAGCCTACGATTTGTAGCGCACAATTCCAAAAATTCCATAAAACAATTTTTTTTCGTAGCCAATTTTAAAATGTAAACGTTGCAATCCCACATCTTTAAGCAAACTTAACACATTCTACGCGTAGAGCTTCTCACATCCATCTGCCAATTTTCCCGGGAATGAAAATTAAAGGACAGAAGATATTGGCATCAGAAAAACTCACAAAGAGCGAATATTACTTCAAGCTTTAGATGGAGCCAATATCGTTCTATCGATCGCTCTTAAAGCAGCGACAGTATTAATTCAACATCAAATAATCGAAATATTTATTCAGATACGGTTTTCTGCATGAACAAGTTTTGATTTAAGATATGTATTGCAGAGGGCTAGTTATTTAGTGTGCGTGTCAATAATATACTTGTCGAGATTTAAATGTACTTTTGTTGGACAATATATTGACTTTAAAAATCATAACAGGATTCTGCATTCCAATAGGTTCTGGGTGCGGAAGTAGAACGACACAAAACAAAATCAAACAACGATCAAAAAACTAAATCTGCTATAAATTACTATTAATACTAAACCACAAGCATATTTAACGTAAGGTAGAATAGTCAGTCTCGCGAGAGCACGAAAAATGCGGTATTGGGTTTCAAAGCAGAATAACAGTAAAATGATGCTAAATAATTAATGGGATTGTTATTAAGGCAACTACAAAAAGCGAGGCTTGTTGAAAAACCAAGCAGTGGTGAAATTATGAAAATTTTATCAGCGCATCGATTTTGCTCAACGAAACTTACATTGAATGTGAAACGAGGGTTTCAGAAAATTTCAAGATGCGTTGTGTAGTTAAAGGGGTTGGCACTAAATAGTTATTTTTTATTTAACAATGTGACAGTGAACATGCAAGCAACATTTGTCAAGCCAGCTGGTACTTAACCGAAGAAAATAACTGGTATTAGCGACTAGCGATTTTTTCGTATAAGTGTGGTACAGCACCCATCGATTTCGTCACAACTATGTGCCGTCGATTACTAAAAAGTCTGAAAAAATAATTTGTTCTGCTAAATATGTCAATTGATTACAATACAATTGGAGCGAACACGCGAAACCTAAGTGTGTAAGTAAAATTTTAGGTCATCCTTAGATCGTATTTCATACTATTCGAAATAATTTTCTCCAAAATTGGCCGGGCCGACTTAAAATTATCGTTGGTGCACCGAACATTATTGAAGTGTGGAATTAAATATACTTAATCTGAAACTAAAACCGTTGCACGTTATTAAGACCCCAAATTAGTAATTTTCATACCACACAAACAAAAATATATTACTAATATAAATATAACGTAGTATTATATATCGTTATACGTCACTTTTTTTATAGCAAAATGCATTAAAGAGAGTTGTTCTGTCAATAAACGAATCATTACTGTTCGATTCGGTTTGGAGAAATTTTTAACCTTATACGTTGGTAGCGAATTACTGTGTTGTCAGGTTGACATTTGATTTATCGATTCGTTTTTGGTTTGGTTAGTTTTAAATTATGCCTATAAATTTTTGATAATTTTTCCCATATCTCAATCGTTTTTGTTAGCTTTTAGTCTTTTAAAGTGTTCAAAAGTGATCTAAACCTGTGTTTTTTGTACTGTTATTATACTATAAGCGATTATTATTGATCTAAAACCAATTCAATAATCCCTTTCATTACACAAGATTTTCATGGCAACTTGGAAACAGGGTCAGTTTGACGGGTGATGACGTGCAACGCTTTTAGCTTTAGATTAAGTATACTTAACCATCGATACAATAAATGTTGAAATTTTTCTTTGTGCAAGGCGGTGGCAAGAAAGATTTCGTTGACGACATGTCCAAAGTAATATAAAGCTGTTTTGTGTTTTTGGTTTATTGGACTTTCCTTTTAGTAAAGTTGATCTCTATTGGCATCGCAAAAATTCAAATTCAGGCCAGGAATATAAAAAATAAAATTTCTGAACCAACTTGTGCGGGTTTATAAACAATCGAATGCCAATAGATACTGAAACTAATGGGTTTTTAGGCCGTCGTTTGGTTGAATTTCGTCTTGACGTTTCGCAAGCACGAGTGGCTTTAATCTTCAGAAGTGGTTTGCTTGAACGTTTACACTGTTCCGATGCGACTGATCGGGCCCAGTCGGTCTTTAAAAACCGGTTGCGATGACGTCGTTTGTGATGACGTGGCCTATGTCATCAGAGCTTGCGCATTCTGTTGGCTGTTGCTATTTTCCGGTGTACTCGATTCTCCCTCCTGTCGTGAGCTGTTGCTTTTTCTTGCTGTTTTTACGTTGGTGAGTGCTGAAAACCATATTCTGTTTAGCGCCATTTTCTCTTCGTTTCTGTTAAAATTGTCGTCGTTTTTGCAGATTTCAAGGGCTTCTCGTATTAATCGGGGGCGGTACCCTGTTGTTGTGGCCAGGACCTGTGCCTATCCGAAACATATGCTGTGTGTTTAATCGCTGAGGGCATGTTCCGCTACTGCCAACTTTTCCACATGCCCCAGTTTACAATTCCGTCGGTGTTCTTCTATTCTTGTCGCAACCGATCTCTTAGTAGATCCTATGTAGACGCTTCCACAGGAGCATGAAATCCAGTAGATTCCTGCAGTTGCGAGGGGGTCTTCTGTCTCTAACTGACCCTCGCCATTCTCGAATCTTTGTTGTGGGCTTATAGACTGTTCTTATGTTGTGTTTTCTCAGGAGCCTCCCAATTCTGTTTGTAACCCTGGGAACAAAGGGCAGGAAAGCCTTAAGAGTGGATTCACTTTTTTCAGCACGGCCCACTCCTACAGCTTTTTTGATGTCCAACTAGGAATATCCGTTCTGAAGAAAAGCCTTTTCCAAGTGGTGTACTTCTGTGGTTAGATGTGGTCCACATCTTTTTTTGGCTCTCTCCGTAAGAGTCTTAATGATTGATTCCCTGCTTCTGACGCGGATGATGGTTAGATAGCTTGTGAAGATATCTGTCTGACTTTTCGATATACCTTGTGGTCCAAACGATTCCTCTGCCTAGACACCAAAACATCCAGGAAGGCCAGTTGGTGGTTTTGTTCAACGTTCATGGTGAATTGGATGTCTGGGTGCTGTTTGTTTAGATGGTCGAGGAAGATGTCTAGGTTTTTGCGTCGATGTCTCCATAGCACAAAGGTGTCATCGACATATCGGTACCAGAGCGTTGGTTTAAGGGGTGCAGTGCTCAACGCTGTTTCCTCAAACTTCTGCATGAAGAGATTCGCCACCACCGGGCTGAGTGGGCTTCCCATGGCTGCTCCTTCCTTTTGTTCGTACTAATCTGCATGCCACAGGAAGTAGCTGCCCTTTAAACAAGACTTGAACAGATTTGTTGTACTCTCTTGAAATAGCTCCGACACTAACTCTATGGATTCTTCCAAGGGTACCTTTGTAAATTGAGATACAACATCGAACCTGACCAGCATGTCCGTAGGTTCCCGTCTGAGGTCTTGGATCTTCTTAATGAAATGTCCGGAATCCTTGATGTATGTTTCTGCGGACCTCCAGTGTGGCTGCAGAAGAGAGGATAGATATTTTTCTATATCGTAAGTTCGTGATCCCGGGGCACTGACGATAGGTGTCTTGGGTCTGTCTGATCTAC